GTTCTTCTTGGGGAGCAGGAAGATGTTTTTCTTCCCCTGATTCAAACAATTTCAGGCAGCAAATGGATGGGGGAGGGAGGTAGGGTTTTGAACTGGGGAGCTGCTGCCTGCGGTGGCAGAGCACCTCCCTCCGCTACGTGCGGTGCTGCACCTTGCAGTTACGCAGGGGCTGCGCTCAGAGGTCTCCCTGAAGCAGAAATCTGTGGCCAAAAGTCTGAGATTTGGCGAGGATACTTGAGCCTTCCCCCGGGGGAGCGAGGCCTTCAGCACAAGTACGTGCCTAATAGATTCCCTGCCTTTTACCCCAGCGCTTAAATAGCTGAACATGCATTGCATGCGTGTTGGTTTGGGCCTTTTCATTTTTTAAGGCTCCAGCTTTGTAATCATTAGGCATCTGAGGCAGTGACCAAACTCTTGTTCACGTTTCTCTAGCCTAAGCAGAACTGAACGTTGCTGGTGATCATGTCCCAGAGCGTTCAAGGAAAGGGTGTAAGATTGGTAGGGTCTGAGTTGGAAGAAATGTGAATTACTGCATTTACATCTTTTCATAGGCCCTATTAATCTTTTCTCTTGTTCTGAACAGCGTAGCTAAGGCCAGATTGGTTGAATATGGTGAGGAAGCTCTCTATGTACCTTAGCTGATGTGCCTTAGCTTAGTTTTTATTAGGAGAAAGAGCAAAAAAATGTGATTCTAATTTATAGGTAAATAAATTCCCTCTTACTCATAGACTGTGATTCCAGAAAGGCAGGACAATAAAAGCTTGAGAAGCATACCCACAAATCAGGTTGCTACAGGCTTGCAGAAAAGGAGATGGATGTGTACAACAAAGACGAAATATATTGCAATTAAGTCACACGGTCAGATTCATCGCTGGTGTAATTCCACTGCAGCTAGTGGAGTTATGAGAGAGAGAAATACTATGTTTAGCTTTTAAAATCTTGCTCATTTTAGTTGTTGGATACCTGATCTTCATTTTTGGCTCACTTTGATAGATGCTCGTATACCACGGTGGCACGCAAATAACACAAAAAAAAATTGTTGCAGTGACACATAGCAGAACAAGGACTCTTTCTTGCATTAGTATCTGTCTTCTGTAAAATAAACAAAAGCTTTAAAGAAGCTGTTCTTCTGCCATACAGTGTTACAAGAAACAAAAAATATTCTGAGCATCTTTGCCTTTGGATCTACTCATGTAACAAGCAATTACTTACTTGGATAACCTATTCCTCCCCCCCTCCCCCGGCCCAAAAAAAGGAGCCCCAGCAACAATAGAAGGTCTTAAAAATGTCTCTGGATTGTTAGAATTTGGCATTTAAGGAAGACCCTCATTTGAAAAACTAAGCACTTATCCAGCACCCTGTCACTGTTCAAGGGAACACCTAGTTGTGTGCGCTTAGGTATTCTGCCGGGAGAGGTCTGAAAGCTCCTTAAACTTTATTGCTTTGAGATGGTCTTTTTTTCACAACCTGTAAATTCTCTTCCCTTTATTTTGCTTTAAAATATCCTTACCCTTAGCATATGAAACAACATTTGACTTGTGTAGTACCAGGATATGGAATTAATGGTCTGGATTTCCAGTGTTACATTTTCAAGTTGGCACACTGCACTCTTTTTGCGAAATACATTACAAAAAATAAACACTACACCACCACCACCAGCAGCAGAGTTCTTCGATACAGAAAGCCCCCCCGTAGTACCTAACGGCTAGAGATGAACTGTTTTATAAGGTATTTGGCCGAAAGTGTAAAGAAGGCCCTTAACTTTAAAGGATCCTGTGCAAATCCTGCCTTAGCCGGGTGGGTTTCTGCAGCTCAGTTTGGTAACGTTTCAGCGAGACACCGCAGGTGGGCAAGCTGCCTGGCTAATGCAGCGTACTGGGAACGCTAGCAATCTTGGGCGCTTTTTATCCTGCGTGTAAAACCAAGTTATCAGCTGTTTCTAAACAGACGTTGCTTATATCAACTGTGACTGGAATTTATAACTATCACACTGGAGTTCATCTCTGTCAACAAATCTGAGAAATATTGTTGAGTCATGGGCTTTTTTGGAAGTTGCTGAGGAGACAAAGCAAAGAGAGGAAAGGGGTTTGTTTTGTTAATTTGCATATCAATCTTTAAAAAGATTGTTCTTGCAAAGCTGCACTTTTTATCCTTCCTGGAAATCAGCCTCACATGGTGAAAATGAGAAAACAAACAATTTTGCTAGAGATTATCTTTATTTTCAACAACCAATTAATATACAGTACTGAGCAAAACATCTGATAAGGAACAGAGTGGTAGTTTCAAAAACAGCAGGTGATTTAGCCAGGTGTCTTCCATCAAAATTAATATGTCTCCAGAAAATGCTTTAGTCCTCCCTTTCCCTTTCTTTTTTTCTTGCATAAAGAGTGAAGTGACTTGGAAAGGTGGTTATAGATCAAGCTCTGTCCTGGTTTCCCTTTCTTGGAACCTGTAGCAGTCTGCTAGGCTGTGCTGTGCCCATCTGGCAGCCAGAGTAATTTTGGCTAATTCTTTATGAAAACCACCGTACTGCTGTATAGCACAGTAAGCTCTTCAAGAGAACCAAGTCTCTTGAAATAAGCCATTTTGCAGGTAGACACTAAACAGGATAGATCGCCGATCGATTGACACAGGTATAGTTTACATCTTCTCTTACTGAAATGGCTTTTCTGAATGTTTTTCAGTTGGGTCAAATAGTCGTTGCCTGGCCACAGACCGTGCATACCAAATTTGAAGATGAAAAGGGCTTTATAGAGGACTGTAAGGTGTGGGCTGAAACTGGATTTATTTTGGAAAGTAGGTTCCAGCCTCAACTACTCCAGCCTCAGAAGTTGCCCACAATTTAAAAAAAAAAAAAAAAAAAAGCTTATTTTGGCAGTGTAATTTAGTAGTTTCTATTAAAAAAACTAGTGGTTTCTATTCAAAACCTTTGAGTTGGAAGGCTTGTTCCGTGTCAGGTTGGATTTTGCGGTCTAAATATTACGTGTTTGTATCGATAATTCTTTTACTTATATAATGCAATTTAGCCAGGGATCTCAGAATAGTGAGTTAAAACTCCAAGTAAAATCAGTGAGGCGTTCCCTGGCTGTAGGCTGCAGGAATGCTCTAAGGCCCAGTGATAATGCTTCTGGAATAATTACGCTCATGATCATTAAAATATATATTAGGAATGATAAATAGTGGTATATTTAAAACCCTACTGTACAGCAAAAGAAATGTTAAGCAGGCACTCTCAGAAAAGCCTTCCCTGCTAGTTAAGCATACCCAAAAGATGACTCTCTTCTTTGATTCAAGATGTGGATTTCCTACTTTATTAATAATGCATGTGGAAAAAAAGGGATAAACCTTTTTTCCTAAACAGTGTCTGCACGCTCTCTTCCAAGCCTGGACGGAGGTAACTATTATTTTATAGTCTTTGTTCTTTATTCAGAAACACTCATAAAGAAGGCAGACATGGGAACGCCTGCAGCTGAAAGTGTGTGTAATGACAAGCCCTGAGCGCTTGTGTACGGCATGTCAGAAAGAAAGGGAGCGCTGCAGACTAACCATTGCTCCTGAGCTGGAATAAGGGTAATGATGTGGAGAGTGTGGTCAAATCAGGAAGCCTTTGATTCTTGTAGGCAGGAGACAGAGTGAGAATATGCAGTCATATGAGAAGCTGAACAGGTATTATTAGGCCATTTTTCAGACATTTTGAAATTTTATTTTATTTATTTGTTTTCCTTTTTTCCCTTTTGTGTCAATGAAGTCAAGTCTATTTAGTACCCTGCTTCAAAGGGGGAAAAAAATAGATTTGTATTAATCCTCTGTCATCATATTCACACCAGGTAATTTTGCAGGGAACTTATCTGCATAGCCCCAGCTGTGTAAGCTGTATTCCTTTAACTAGGGCATTCGCTTTTTTGTGCCAGACTCTAGATGGGGAAGAAGTTGGCATAGGCTAGCTTCAGTGGATGCCATCTTGTCTCCTCATATTTTACCAGTTCCTATAGCTTCGTGTGCAGCAGTACAGTAAAATTGCATTGAATTTTCAGATATTCGGGTTTCTTCAGAGTTCTGACTAAATAAGCAGTAAACTTGCGTATAGGTGTGATTGGGAAGGGACTGCTGGATCTCTTGGTTATGTATCTGAGAACAGTGCAGAGACTGCAGAAGTACCCCCACTCTAATGCTTTGTTAAAGGCACTTTATGCACTCTGCGTTGAGAAATGAACTTTCTGCTCAGGCTAATACAGCAGTCATCACATCCCAACCTGAGGGATTTAGCCAGATCTCTCTAGCTGTGGAATTTACGCTGTACGTAAATAGGAGATGAGTTCAACGGTAATGAAAGTTGACTGTGTCGACTGATCTTCAAGTGTGTCATATTTCAACTGGGAATGAGTATGTTATGTTGTAAATTGTGATTTACGGATCGGTAATGCACGACTGTGTGTACTTTTAGAGATAAGTGCACCATCTTTGCTTGTAAGCTGGAACTGGATTTGAACCAAAAACCTACAAATTTCCAATGTGAACTTTCGCAGAACAGTTTAACAATACAAACTTTTCCCAATATTCAGTAGGTGTTTGGCTTCAGTCTTTTTGTTTGAATTTATACAGACATAAAGTCTCACTGCAAATCTTGAATTCAGACTGACCTAATATGAGAGGAAGGGAATAGATAGTGTTTCATTTTAGTCATTTCTGTTCACAACCATACTGTCAATGAATGGTAACCCACGTGTACTGAACAGTGCTGGGCTGATCTCCAGTATATATCTATATGTATATATCTATATTGGTTTATGTATGCATGCATGTGCATACACAGGTATATATACATATTCATATATGTTGTTCTGTACAGGAAATCCAGATTTTGTGAATTATAGCTTATTTATTTAATTTAACAACAAAAGGATTGTCTGAATGAGTGCATATATTTGCAGGAGATCTTCTCCAATTATTGGAATATTTATATGAAAAGTAAAACTTTTCCCATTCTGTTTTTGTTAAAGGAAAACCACTGCAGAAGGATAAAAATCCTAGGGGACTGTTATTACTGTGTATCAGGATTGACCCAACCCAAAACAGATCATGCCCATTGCTGTGTTGAAATGGGACTGGATATGATTGACACCATCACGTAAGTATTCCCTACGGTGAACCTGAACATGAGTGCTGCAGTGACTTTTCTGTGGCATTCAGGAAGTGTATTTTCAGAGGAACAGCAGTGTCTGCTAGCACTGCCCAGCTAACAATTCACACTGTTAAATTTAGGTCACAGCATGCTGTTTTTATGCGGGGTCATTCTAGGCATTGATTTTCCACTCCATTTAATCACCGTGAGGAAAAAGTATAAAAGCATGAATATGTAGAGACACATAAACTTACAGACTAGGAGATGAAAAGAAACTGGGAAATCATGAAATATTCCTGTTATCATTTGCCACTAAGAAAGAAGTCTCACTTCTTGTCTTAGTGATAAACACTGCTCATTTTGTGTACCGGTATGTAAATTCAAAGCCAGCCCTGATGTATGCTTGTTGTTTGTATTCCCCAAAGGATAGCTTGCTGATTCCTTCTTTCTGTATGCCATTTTAAACCTTTATTTTGCTTTTCAGAAGCGTAATGGGAAATTCACTTTGCTGATCAGAAGAATTTTTTTAATGCTTGAAAGCTCTGCACTGATCATCGCTTTAGCAAGGGGAAAATGTGAATGTGAGAGGACTGTGAATAAGGTTCTAGCTTTCAGTGAGAGCTGGAAGTCTGTTCCTTAACATAGGAGGGAAGGGACAAAGATGGGAGATTTCTCCACTACTGTCTTGCTGTGTGAGTGTGTGTTTTATAGAGAAGCTATAAGGAAGAGTGCACACACATATTAATGCTGTATATAAATAAATACTGGTTAGCACAGTGCTATTGTATCTGGGATCACGGAATCACAGAACAGCCAAGGTTGGGAGGGACGTCTGGAGACCATCTAGTCCAACCTCCCTGCTCAAGCAGGGTCCTCTAGAGCATATTGCCCAGGATCGCATCCAGACGGGTTTTGAATATCTCCAAGGATGGAGACTCCACTACCTCTCTGGCCAACCTGTGCTGGTGCTCTGTCACCCTCACAGTGAAGAAGTTTCTCCTCAGGTTCAGGTGGAACTTCCTGTGGTTCAGTTTGTGCCCGTTGCCTCTTGTCCTGTCACTGGGCACCACGGAGAAGAGGCTGGCCTCATCCTCTTGACACTCCCCCTTCAGATACTTGTACACGTTGATGAGATCGCCTCTCAGTCTTCTCTTCTCCAGGCTGAACAGGCCCAGCTCTCGCAGCCTTCCCTCATAGGAGAGACGCTCCAGTCCCCTAATCATGAATTTGCTTTTCAGGTATATCCTGTATGAGTGGCAGCATGCAAGTGTGTCACATCCGGGGCCTTAGGCTGCGCTGTAGTGGAAAGTGTTTGGCCAGTGTTTCCAGTAGCCAATTTTTCCCTTGCTCTCTGGTGTTAGCTGGACTGTTGGGAATCAGGAGTTGATTTAAGATTCTGCTTTGCTGCAGTTAATCTCCATGTTTCTGCATTGCACACAAAGAATGCCCTGCCTTTTTGCAAAGGTGAATAGGCCACAGTGTAATATCAATTTAAAAATAGATAATAAACTATTAAATACAGAAAAAATATTTCAATACAATAAACAAACATAAGACTGTGAGCATATGAATTCAAATTATGCATTTAACAGTTCCAAATAGTCCTTAGTAACATGCAGTGTTATATTAAAGGAATAATCTGATAAATCTATACAATACTTCTGTATGTTGCTTTCTTGTCTCAGTCTGTCTTCTGGTCTTTATCTTATGCATGTTCATGTGATATCACATAGTAGTACTCAACAGCCTTTTGATGAATGAATCAGTCGTGTAACTTGAGCATTTCATGTTTGCTCTGTCTGTCATTTCCCCCCTCCCCCCACCCTGGGAGCTTGCACTGAAATGTTTAGTTTTTAAGTAGATCTTAAGCAACTGCCATGTCTCATTGCATGTAAATCAGCCTGCCACAGAAATATTTCCTCTTCATCTCCGAGATGGAATTTTCACCCCCCGCATATAGTCAACAAGTATTAATTATTGGAATAAACTAAATGAATATTCATTTTTCCTCAGATAAGAGGAAAAACAAATTTCAGGTCTTAGTCAGTGCAGACTTAAAGGCAGATTTCTCACAGATTTCCATATCTTGGATTTGGAGAATTCCCCCTTGTTTCTTATTCTGATAAAGTTCGTGCCACACCGTGGATTCTGTGTCTTCCCTGTGTATTTGAGAATGTGCATGCACGTATATACCGATTCATCCACAAAATGGTAGGTTTTCAGAATCAAGATCATCCTCCTTGGTGGAGAGGTTTGATATTAGAGAAAAATGGAGCAAGAGTTTACTATAAGTTTGGCTCTTGAAAATTGGGTTTGTCTCTGTAGAAGTAATGGCTGGTTCTTCAAACCTTGCTAGTACCTGAGGGGAACATGAATGTCAACACACGTTTCTGTACTTTCATTTCAACCTTAAACTTTTATATTTACCTGGATCTGTTGATCCTCTTTCTTTGAAGAGGACTTTAAAGCATAGAAAAAGGGCAGAAGAAAACACAGCTGCAAGCTGATTCTCATTTTCAACCCAATCCAGGTATTTTTATTGTAATGTCCATTTATAAAATATTTTACTGTGTTAGGAGTTGGGTAAAGGAGTCCATATTCTCCCTCTCATTGAATGTAAATTCCTGTCATCTTTGTAAGCATTGTAAAACTGATGAAAGGCACTGGAATCTATGATGATATAAAATCCCAAAAGAACTCTTGTGAGGCACTTCTACTCCCTATAAACACAACAAAATGGAGTATTTAACAACTTGACGCATACAGAAAGAAATCCTGAAATATAAAGGAGATCCCAAGCATGCAAGTGAAGTATGCATGCATTCTCCCTGTGGTAGAGAGATACTCCATTAATAAGGAAGCCTTGCACTTTAGAAGTACAACCATATGCAGGCCTTGTACACGTTTTCCAATGCCTGTCTGCCTTTTTCTTTTTTTTTTTTTTCTTAATCCCTGGAAGGCTGTGGCTACTGCTCTCATCCTCTTTTAAGCCTAACATTAATCATTATTTCATTAGCTGTACTGTCTTTCATGTATACAAGTAAGGTATTGATATAACTACTTAAACTTCCCCTTTTTGAATGTTTCAGTTTTAGTTTTACTAATATCAAAAATGAAACATGCTCCCTTTCTATATTATAATTTATTGTCTGCCATCATGATAATGTGAACTTCAATAAAGAAGTTGAATTAAAAAAGAAGGAATGAACTGGGATTGTTTAGCCTAGAGAAGAGAAGGCACAGGGAGAATCTTATCAGTATGTATACGTACCTAAAGGGAAGGATTAAAGAAGATGAATCCTGACTCTTCTCAGTGGTATTCAGTGACAGGATGAGAGGCAGTGGACACAAACTGAAATACAAGAAATTGCACGGAAGCACAAGTAAAAGCTGTTTTACTGTGAGGGCAGTTGAACACTGGAACAGGTTGCCTGGAGAGTCTGTGGAGTGTCCATCCTTGGAGATATTCAAAAGCCAACTGGACATGCTCCTGGGCAGCCTGCTGTAGGTGACCCTGCTCTGAGTGGGGTGTTTGGACCAGATGTTTTCTAGAGGTCCCTCCCAATCTTAACTATTCAGTGATTCTCAGCAGATGGGCTGTAGTGTATTTTCTATGTCCCTCATGGCGGGAGAGGGCAAGATGGAGAAGAGTCAAGGTTATTAGAGAGCACCGGATTTATTTAGGGTTGTGGAATGGGTAAAGATCTTTTCTGCATCCTTTATACATAAGCACAATGAATTACTCTCGTAAATGAGGAATTAGCAGCATAGGTATTGTAAGATGCAGGCTCAATGCATATTTCTTCTCTCAGTTAAATGAACGCATCTATTCTGCTTATGTTAGAAAATGAAAAGAGGGTAAATTTTCAAGTGCTGTTGCCCTTGATGGCAATAATATTTTTTTCCTTTTACTGCAAGTGGAGTGTCATCTGTTCAGATATTATTGGATTCAAAGTGCAGATCTTTTGGTGATGGAAGCTAATCCAGTTGTACAGAGCTGCAGAAACTGGTGAGCAGATTCTGTTGAAGATTAGGAAAAACATCTTCCCTCCTAAGACTAAGGTTAGAAGATGGATTCCCTAAATTAATTTGTTTGAAAATATAATAAGCAAATTAAAAGGAAAAGAGTTTATGATGTTGAAGTTGAAATGCAGCATCCTATTTTCCATTAGTATGACTATTAGATGCTGCAGTTTGTCCGTCCCGTGAGATGTAGAGTCATTTTTGTTTTTTAAACTTTCTCCTTTCATCTAGTGCCAGAGCTGGGTGGCAGCTGTTGGTCTTGTAAAAGTCTGTTCACCCTAATGCAGAAGTAATGCCCTGAAATTGTAGATTTATGTTTAGAAGTCCTCATCCCGAGTGACTGCTTTCTCATGTTTTCTGGAATAAATAAAGTCATCTGAGTTATGATTCATCTGATGGATCTGCAGAAAGTACCTATCGCAGAGATAAGTACCATTGACTTTTCTGGTTTCCAATAGCTCAAGGAATAGAAATTTCTAGTGGTACAATTCAAGCTGTTAGTGTACAATAGATCTATGATTTGACTGAGATGAATGTTAGGATGAGTTCATATAAACTGATACTTTTAAGTATCCTTTTATATGGTGTTATATGTGAGTATGGTCTGAGAATGTTGCCTCGTTTGATTTAGTTTAAGAAGTTCAGGGTAATCTTCAAAGAACATTTGAAAAAAACCTTAATCTTCATAATTTCATCTGCATTCTACAAGGTAGTTTTTGCAAGGGCATAGTTAAAGTTAGACAAAAGTCATTATGGGAGTTTTTTTTTTTTTTTAATAAAGTGGAGAGTGTTATATTCTGTTTATTCTCGTAAGGAATTTGTGCTGCCAATGAGTTTTGTGTCAGTGCATCCGTACAGGCCAGGTGTTTGTTCCACTTCAGAGTCACTTAAATGATCATGGCAGCTCTTAAGTTGGAGTCAAGTCTTGCATATGGCCTATGTTGCTATCGTCAGGTGAGTTTTTACTGTCAGATTGTGTTAGT